GATGAACGACGCATCTATCAAACTGCTGCCGTCTTGCAATTGTGGTTAATGACGCTGCAATTACAAGACGTCACCAATCTGGCTCTGCCGATTTCGCGGTTTATAATACCTTAGCGTTATATCTGCCTGTTAATGGCCCAGCAGATATAACTACCAACATGCCATAATTCCCACGAAATATTAGCCCCACTTTGTTGTACTCCTACTCTAAATGCTGCCGGCCCTATGCTACACAAATTAAAAACCAGTATTCTTTCTACTTACATGGATTTTATTTGGTTGTGTAATACTTTGCGGCTGGTACTCGTACGTCTATTAGCTGCTGTGGTCACTGGAGAAGAGAGCGAGCTTACATTTTTGCTCGCCCTTCTAACCTCGTTTTCTTGCATTCCTTTTCTCTACTTATCGAAAAACTCTCTCTGCGTGGGCGGTGATGCCAGCTTGCCTGTTCTCTCTCTATTTACAACACTTATAAAATACCCCTCGTTGTGCAAATTCAAATAATACCGGTCCTTCATGACAATTATAGAAATGGATAATGCGCAATATACTAATTATAACTAAATATTTAACTTCATGTGTTCCTGTTTAGTGTTATAGTAATACAATGTGCAATATTCATATGTGCAATGGGAAAACTTAAGATAGTAATACAATGTTTGCACATTGATTTCATTGTATTCATATGTGCAATAGGCAAACTTAAGTCTTGTAATACAATGTGCAATATTCATATGTGCAATAGGAAAACTTAAATCTAGTAATTTAATATAGTTAAATTCTAACATAATAGTTTGGGGCTCAGAATTTAACTGCGTCACAATATATATACAACTAAATATTTCTTCTAATCATTATTGAAAATTTACAAAAATACAACTCAGTTTATCTTGTATTCTTTCTCCGAGTAAATACATAATCCAAAATTAAAGTTAATCGGATTTCTAATTTTTAAAATCACTTCTTGGTGCTCACCTACACTTTGAAGCTTTTTAACGTTTACCATTTGGGCTGTGCGTTAATTGCATACTTATATACTCACATATATACATATGTATGTACATAGAATTTTGTTCGTGCACCAATAAAGCCCCAATTCAAACAAGACAGAACGCTAGAGTCGAGCAAGCCCGACAGTAAAATAGCCTGTACTCTCCACAAAAAAAGAAAAAAAAAGATTAAAACAAAATAAATTCTTTAAAAAAATTTAATTAATTAACTAAATTAAATAAATTTATTTACTATATACATAGAAGACATGCTTATGTACAGTTTCAATAGCATACATCATCGGGTCTATGCGTGTTTATATACGTGTATGTATGTAGCACAAAGTTGAACCAAAGCAGCAACAGCAACAACAGCTGCGGGCAGCGCTGCAAGCAGAGCATGGGCAGCGATTTTACGTATGGCTATAACTTTCTTCAGAATTGACCTATCATAATGAATCTTGGCATACGGACACATAAGCACTAACTATACGTAACTACTAAAATTGATTTCAAAATTCAAAGAATTACGGAAGTTATAAAAAACACGAATTGTGGGGGGTGGGGTTGGGGTGGTGTATCAGAAAAAAAACACAAACTCGATCTGCCTAGGGCTTAGGGGAACCTGAATGTCAAGTTTGGTTATCCTAGGTATTGTAGTTGCTGAGGACGGACGGACGGACAGACGGACATAGTAATATCGACTAGTCTTGTCATCTTGATCAATAATATATATACTTTGCGGGGTCTGCCACGCCTCCTTCTGTGTGTTACATACATTCGCACAAAACTAGTATAGCCTTTTACCCTTTGGGTACAGGCTATATAAAATGGGTTGAAAAAGCAGATATATTATACAAACGATTTTATATACATACATGTATGTATTTACATACAAACATAAACCTGTATATACATAAATTACATTAAATAGATTGGTACATTGAGGGTTAGTAGTTTCTAGAATTAAACACTGTACAATTTAACACCGACATACCGACATATATTAGTCGATCTATCCCTGTCTGTCTGTCCGTATGAACGCCTGGATCAGAGACTATAAGAGGTAGAGACACAAAACTTTGCACAAAGATGCGTTATGTGTGTACGCTGTGCAAGTTTGTATTATTATTTGATTCGAATTTCCCTGCCTACCCCCTCTCCCATGCAATCGTAACTCCCGTAACTCAAATTTTGCAAATACCCCTAGTTAGTGATTATGTGTCCGTATGCCAAGATAGACCGATTTAACAAGAAGTTATAGCCATAAATATATTTGCTACTCTAGCGCTGCCCGCAGCTATTGTTTATGCTGATGCTTTGGTCGACTGCAAACATGCTTACACAGGCACGAATAGACGCGCATAAACATACATATTACATACATACATATTAGAATATTTCCTAACTTTAAATTATATTTTGGTCATGTTTTTCATTTCGTGCTATATTGTGTCAATACGAACACGCATAAAATTGGAATATGAAACACGGCACTCGTGTCCACGCAGTGCAGCGATGTGCGACGAACAATAAAGAGCACCGATTTCTCCCATCTCTGTTTGTGTCTGTGAGTGTGCCACTGTATGTGTTTATGTGATGTCCCCAACTGTTTGATATTTTGTGTTCTTTGTTATTTATTGTTGCTGCATATGCCAAGTAAAAAATATATTTCTATATTTCGAAAATCATTGAATGCCAATTTGTAGATATAGTTATGTTGATTACGGATACCAAATTTGAAATCGATCGGACAACATTAATAGCACAAACTTTTCATTTTAAAAAAAGTGAAGAAATATAAAAACCCCAATAGCTCAAGCTCTAAGACCAATTTCAAAAAACCGAGTATGCTGTATTATTTGTATTCTTTTATTGATTTTAGAAACCACGTTTTAAGTCGATCGGTTGAGAAATGTGGATTTTTCGAACAAACTTTGGAGCTCGCTTTGCCCCCTTTGGAGCTCGAATTTTTTGAAATCCCTTTTAGTGCACACCAACACTATAATAGGATACTTGAGCCCAAATTTCAGCTTCCTAGCTTTTATTGTTTGGGCTGTGGGCTGTTGACGCGGTTTCCTTTTATGCGTGCCCCAACAATTTTTTTTATAGGAAAACGCCCATATTTCAGGGCCCAAGAAAAATCTCAATGAACCAAGCATGCAGTTTTTCTTGGAATTTCTAAGAGTATATAAACTACAAGGTGTGTTCCAAAGTAAACAGGACTTTTTGAATCTAGCGCCTCCTGGTGCCGCTTTCTATATGTCGACTGGTGCGTTAGAATCTGCTATCTGTATCGATTGTCCAGTGAGAATTTCATGACATTTCATCGATTGGAAGTGAAGTTATTGCGTTTTAAGTGTCAGTATGTTTGTGTTATCGGTGCGCAAATGAGCTTCGAACAAAGAGCCAACATTAAATTTTGTTTTAAAATTGGTAAAACTTTCACCGAAACGTTTCAATTGATGAAACAAGTTTATGGCGATGATTGCCTATCCCGTAGCAGAGTGCACGAGTGGATTAAACGTTTTCAAAGTGGTCGTGAGGACATAAATTACGATCAACATGTGGGCCAATCAAAATTCGTGATCACCGAAAATTCCATCGAAACTGTGCATGAATTCATCAAAAATCAGCCGAAATCATCATTGAAATTGATGGAAATGCGATTGACCATCTCCAAAACATCGATTTATCGCATTACGAAAAGTGTGTGCACGGTTTGTTCCATTGTGAAGACAATGCTGATTTTTTATTATGATTTCAAAAGTATTGTCCACAACAAATTTGTTCCACCCGGCCAAAACGTTAATGCGGTACTCTACCTTGGAGTTTTGAAGCGTTTGGTGCGCCGTATTCAACGTGTTCGGCCCGAATATCGCGAAGATGAAAGTTGGCATTTGTTGCACGATAATGCGCCGTCTCACCGATCGACGCTTGTGACCGATTATTTGACCAAAAATCACATTTTAACCATTAACCACTCGCCGTATTCACCTGAATTCGCACCATGCAACTTCTACCTTTTCGGAAAAATGCATTTGCCCATGAAAGGAAAGCGTTATGCAGACGTAGAGGCCATTCAAAAGGCTTGCACCGGATGATGTTGATCAGATAAAAATTGTAGATTTTTCATACAAACGTTGGAGCCTGTTTTCCTCCCTTTGGAGCTCGAATTTTCCAAAATCTTTTTATCGCCTGTCTACGCTATGAAAGGATACTTGAGTCCAAATTTCAGCTTCCAAGCTCTTACCGTTTGGGCGGTGCATTGATCACCAATCAGTCAGTCAGGACAAACTGTTTTATATACATAGATACTTATAGATACCTTTTTATATGTTGCACTTTTTTCAAAACACTATTAGGTTTTCACTGCGCAATTAACACACGCGTCACAGGCAAGACATTGCGGCAAACTAAATGTCAGATGAAGAAAAAGCAATCGGAGGCAGGGGAAACGCAAAAGAATAGAAAAGTAGCTAAAAAAAAAAGCAACGTCATTTGCCTAATATATGTTGGTGTAATTAGACGAGACAACAAAGTAACGAGATTTGCCTAATATTTGTTATTGTTACTTGACGACGAACACAGCGAACGAGCATCAAATCGTTTCTTTTAACACTGTTGCACTGCCTTCCGTTCGGGCAACGAAAGACGAGGCAATCTTTTTTCGTAATTCTGTTTTGTGTCGATGTCCTACTGGTATGGCGCTGCTTTTGTAAAGAGACACCTTCACTTTGAGCTCTGCCCTCCGCTGTAGTTGTTGCTGCTGCTTTAGTTCAATTGCTTACTGCACACATACACACGCGCATATAACTCGATGTACATTTATGACACAAAAACTGTACATAATCCTATGTCTCTACGTACATTTAATTAATTTAATTAAATATTTTCCTTATAATTATAGTGTTGGTCATGTAGCATTTTTTTTTCTTATTTTAAGTTAGGAAAATATGTATTGATAATATATTGTACACTATATGTAAATTTCATAATTTATAATTTTAGGCAAAAACTAATTTGGCAAACGTGCACTTGGTACACCGAAAAGATCGGGCTGCTTTTTCGAAATGTTTTACGGAATTGGTGCAGGCCAGACCAGAGCCTGAAAGTTATCTGATGCTTGGCGACGCATACATGTCTATTCAAGGTGCAATTCCTTTAAGGAACACGATAAAATAAGCAAAACATCTACTCATGTTTTAAAATGTGATTTGATCCATAAGCACGAAATTAACAAAATATAAGTTTGTTGTACCCTGCACCCAAAGGTTAAGTGGTATACTAGTATATACTAGGCTTAGCAAACCCCACCACTGAAACTTCTAGCACCTCGAAGAATAAATATGATTTTAAAATACTAATTTTAAAGGGTGTATAAGCTTTGGCTCACCGGAGCTAACGTTTGAGCGCGTTTTGTGTATTCTAGGGTCAAACCACATTTTAAGTAATATTTTGGTCACAAAAATGTTGTAATGTAATTTATACAATTTATAATGGGAACTAATTTTGTTTATATTGTAGAGGCTGAATTGGCAATAAATGCATATCAAAATGCATTCAGCATGAATAAAAATAATTCGATTTTAGCCTCAAAATTAGGAAGAGCTTTTGTAAAAACACACCAGTATTCGTCAGCCCTAAAGTACTATCATGAAGCTATACAAAATCCTGGATGCTCTAGCTTAAAACTAGACTTGGCGGAGCTGTATTTAAAACTAAAGCAATACCAAAACGCGATTGACGCATTGACAGCAGGAGCTAGAAACAAATCACTGTAATTTATTACCAGAAAAAGTGAATTGAAGATGTGACGCACTAATATCAAATTTTTTGCTACAGAAATGATGACAATGTATTGGAACTTCAGTTGTGGACTAAGCAGCTCCTACTGCTGGCACGTGTTTACGAGAAGTCGGGTAATGCTGATGAATCCTTGCAGACGTTGAAAGAAGCTAGAGATAATCAGTATCGGTTGCAGAAAAGGTTCTCTATTGATGCAGACCAATCAGAAACCCTATTCGAACAATACAAGCTTTTGTCCAAGTAAGTGAACTCAATTATATAAGTACAAGCAGGTCTTGCCCGTCTTTGCTGTGCTAAGTAAAATGTGCTTATAATTATAAGTTTATTTACTATATGATATTCTTCTTTCGACGCTCTCTAAAGTTTTTCAAAGAGTTCATTTTCCAAATAGCAAATATAGTACAATAAGTACTATGTATGGTTATACGTACATACATACAAGTACATATGTACATATCTTCGTTACGCACCTGGCGCATGCCAGTCCTGACTTAACTGTGTGCTTCCTCAGCACGTTGTACGCACGGTCGAGTTCTCCCCGAAAAGTTCGACGCGGGACATTTAATTTTGATTTATAAATCGGGACTGTAAAGAAGTTTTGTTTCCAGCCGAGGTAATGCTCAGCTGTCCAGGATCCCTTACATGAAAATTTGTAAGTTGCGGGACCTTGCGACCAAAAGGGCTCGACGCACGCTGTAGGGGACTATTGGCAGCGACACGTGGAATTTGTGTTCATTGGTTGATGCCCGATGAACGAAAATTCGACGCATCTATCAAACTGCTGCCGTCTTGCAATTGTGGTTAATGACGCTGCAATTGCAAGGCGTAACCAATTTGGCTTTGCCGATTTCGCGGTTTATAACACCTTGGCGTTATATCTGCCTGTTAATGGCCCAGCAGATATAACTACCAACATGCCATAATTCCCCGAAATATTAGCCCCACTTCGTTGTACTCCTACTCTAGATGCTGCTAGCCCTAGGATTAACACCAGGATTGTTTTAACTTACATAGATTTTATTTGGTTGTTTAATACTTTGCGACTGATACTCGCACGTCCGTTCGCTGCTGTGGTCACTGGAGAAGAGAGCGAGCTTAAATTTTTGCTCGCCCTTCTAACCTCGTTTTCTTCCGTCCCTTTTCGCTACTTATCGAAAACTCTCTCTGCGTGGGCGGTGATGCCAGCTCGCCTGTTCTCTCTCTATTTACAACACTTATAAAATACCTCTCGTTGTGCAAATTCTAATAATACCGATCCTTCATGATAATGCGCAATATACTAATTATAACTAAATATTTAACTTCATGTGTTCCTGTTTAGTCTTAGCGTAACAATGTGGAATATTAGAGTAATAAGCAAAATAGCAAAATATGGAGTCTTAGATCTAGAAATGTAAAATGAAAACTTAAGGCTAGTAAAACAATGTGCAATATTCAAAAATATAAAATAGTGGATTCAATATAATAATTATAATTTGTGGCGCAGAATTTAACTGCGTCACACCCTCTCCTTTCTTCGGGGGGCCGGTTTGGCGGATATCTGCCCTTCCGTGGACCTGGACATCTGGAATCATTGAATAGGTACGTCTAGCACATTCTATTAAAACTTAGCTGACATGGTTTGCTGGGCTTAATTCTAGATAATACATAGATTAATCAAAAGTATCCGACCGGAATTCTTGAACTAGAACTCCCTGGGCCTTGGGCTTCATAATCGGCGGCCGTGGCTCTGCTGCTTCTTGTCGCGTCACCGAGTCGTAGTCAGATTCCTCGCGTTCTTTAGCCACACCAGTAGTGACGTATAGACTGGCTTCCGTAGCCGTAGTAGTCGATGTAGTAGTAGTGGGTAATGGCGTTTGGGCGGGAGCTGCAGCCATGCGCACCACGTTCGGCGCATCGCAACTCGCAGGCCATCCTGTGCTGGGCAATGAAGTGTTGGTCGGAGTTGCAGCCATGCGCACCGCGTTCGGCGCATCGCAACTCGCAGGCCATCCTGTGCTGGGCAATGATGTGTTGGTCGGAGCTGCAGCCATGCGCACCGCGTTCGGCGCATCGCAACTCGCAGGCCATCCTGAGCTGGGCAATGAAGTGTTGGTCGGAGCTGCAGCCATGCGCACCGCGTTCGGCGCATCGCAACTCGCAGGCCATCCTGTGCTGGGCAATGATGTGTTGGTCGGAGCTGCAGCCATGCGCACCGCGTTCGGCGCATCGCAACTCGCATGCCATCCTGAGCTGGGCAATGAAGTGTTGGTCGGAGCTGCAGCCATGCGCACCGCGTTCGGCGCATCGCAACTCGCAGGCCATCCTGTGCTGGGCAATGATGTGTTGGTCGGAGCTGAAGCAATGCGCACCGCGTTCGGCGCATCGCAACTCGCATGCCATCCTGAGCTGGGCAATGAAGTGTTGGTCGGAGCTGCAGCCATGCGCACCACGTTCGGCGCATCGCAACTCGCAGGCCATCCTGTGCTGGGCAATGAAGTGTTGGTCGGAGTTGCAGCCATGCGCACCGCGTTCGGCGCATCGCAACTCGCAGGCCATCCTGTGCTGGGCAATGATGTGTTGGTCGGAGCTGCAGCCATGCGCACCGCGTTCGGCGCATCGCAACTCGCAGGCCATCCTGAGCTGGGCAATGAAGTGTTGGTCGGAGCTGCAGCCATGCGCACCGCGTTCGGCGCATCGCAACTCGCAGGCCATCCTGAGCTGGGCAATGAAGTGTTGGTCGGAGCTGCAGCCATGCGCACCGCGTTCGGCGCATCGCAACTCGCAGGCCATCCTGTGCTGGGCAATGATGTGTTGGTCGGAGCTGAAGCAATGCGCACCGCGTTCGGCGCATCGCAACTCGCAGGCTATCCTGTGCTGGGCAATGATGTGTTGGTCGGAGCTGCAGCCATGCGCACCGCGTTCGGCGCATCGCAACTCGCAGGCCATCCTTGATTACTATTGTTGTCTAGGACTGGGGAGTTCCATGTACCGTCCCCGCTGGATCCCCTGTTGAGCGGAGACGCTGCTCGTTTCCCGATGCTCGCTGTGGGCAACAGGCAAGGGTTCGTACGCCTCGCCGACCACATTCCCAGCAGAACAGTACCCGTCTGTTACGGCACTGATCCTGGAAATGGCCCTGCTGGCCACAATTCCTGCATGCTCGTCGAGCGTCGCCCGGAACATGCGAGTCCTGCGTCATCATCTGGTTCGCTGCCTCCCGACTGCTACCTTGCTGCATCCCAGGTACCGCCAACGTCATCATTGGTGGTTCGAGCTGCGGCATCGGTCGCTGTCGGAAAGGATTGCGCGGCGTCTCGAATGTTGTTGGTCTCGTGTTGTTGTCGCGCCCATATGTTGCAGCTACAGGCGTGTGCGGCCTCCTTGGCGAAGTGTTGACGAAGGGTGCGGCCATGGGTGTGCGCCTCTGACCACGCTGGTTGACACTTTCTAACTCTCCGATGAGTTGGATCAGATGAGGCAGCATCCGGAACTCATGGCGGCGTACATATAGCTGAAATTCTTTTCATAGATACGATCTAGTTCTTGGGCCTCGGTGTACCCCGCATGGTGCATAAGTGCGCGTAGCTGTACCACGAAATCTCTAAAACTCTCCCCCTCAACTTGGAAGCGAGTTCTTATCTCGTCTTCTAGCCGCTGAAAATATTTAAAGGGCAGGAAAAATTCTCAAAATTCTCTTCGGAAGATTGTCTATGTTACATTCTGTAGCCGGCTTGTGCGGAACCAGAACGCAGCTTTCTCCGTTAGAACCTCTGGCATGGCGCGTGGTAGATCGTCGAACTCGAGGTCGTAGGATACAGCCCTTTCTTCGAGTTGTTCGATAAATGCCAGTGGGTCTGTACGCCCATTAAAACGAAGTCCCCATTTCCTTATGCGCTCTGGACTTGCATTATAAGGTATCATTGAGGCCATAGCGTTGCCTGCCGCGGATCGGTTCTGGTTGGGTTCATCGAAGCGTATTGCACGACTTGCATTCGATGGGTTTGGCTTTGGTTGCCAATTTGGAAACAGCCGATCATTAATGGGTGAGAGGTATGCAGGCGAAGCAGTTCCGGGTATCTGGAAATCACGAGGCGCACTCGTCATCGATGTGCACGGCAATTGTCCTGGCTCCGGAACTGGGGCCGGTACGGACTTCGACGTATAATGCCGTTCAAGGTCCGCCAAGCGAGCCCAAGTTTCGCGCTGCAATGCTCTCCCTACAATGAAAGTTGCGAAGTTCTGCTTCAAATCGTCGAGCTGGTTCGCCTTGTTGAACCCGAACTCGACTGAGAACTCTTCCAGTTCCGCTTACGAACGGCCATAAATCCAGCCGGTTCCCACCCCTGGGTTTCTAGTGACTACTGGAACGTACTCACCCTGAACTTCTGGATTCATCTTTGCTCACTTTATTTCTTTTGTTCTCTTATTGTCTTCTTATTGTTTGTTGCTTGGTTTTTGTTTCACTGTTTCTAATGCTTGCTTGCGTTGTATTGTTTTGTTTCACTTTTATGGTGGCATGGATTTTGTGTTAGATTAGATTTGTTTTATTTATTTATTTATTTATATTTATTTAATTTGTATTTATTGTTGTCGCATTTGCACAGGAACAAAAAATAACACACAAAAAAAATAATGGTAACAGTGAACCGGTTCCGTTAACCAGTTCTGAACGGTGCACATCACTGACGGCTTTGCACATCACTGATAACGTCACTGCCTCTATGCACTTTTCGTTCGCACATTTCGGTTTTATTCTTTATTTGTCACTGTTGCATTGTTGTGTTTCAAGCTCCGACAACTGCCCACCAGTTAGCCTCAATGATATTACAATCCCAGAAGAAGACACTCCCAAATATCTTGGCATCACCCTCGACAGGAGGCTAACGTGGAAACCGCACCTGCAAAAGAAGCGCCGCCAGGCAGAAGACCGCATTAAAGCGTTCTACTGGCTTATGGGTAGGAGATCCAAGCTGCCGACGTCATCAAAGCTTCTTGTATACAAGGCGATTATCAGGCCAATCTGGACATATGGTATCCAATTGTGGGGCACCGCCTGTAAAACTAATTTCCGAATTATACAGACATTCGAGAACAAATCTCTCCGCATCGCCACCAGCGCTCATCCTCTGCACGACAACGACACCATTCATGAAGTCCTCAGCTTGCCTTGGGTGAAGGACGAAGTTAAGAAAATCAGCAAGCGGTACATGCAGAGGCTACATGACCACCCCAACAACTTGGCGATGAACTTGCTGGAC